GGGAGCGTTTTAAATCTACATATACCTACACTATTTTGAGTTTTTATACGAATAATATAATTTTATGTAATAATATTCATTTAAATTAAATTGTCATTTGTATTTGAAATATTATGTCATCTATAAATTATAATATGCTCGAAAACTAAAGCCGTTTCAAAGACACCGCGTCCGCTCGCGGGCTTCATCGCTCACTATGACACATGGAAAAACAAAACTCAATTACAGTATAAGAAACATATTAAGATACATAGATGATTTTCATTATTATAAAATATTAATAAATTAATACATTCTTTCACATCACTGGCTGTTAAGATTTTTTTTATTGAATACAGGCAATGTCTCACAATATACAGCCACCAAAGCATTCAAATTTAAATATTAAAAAAAAAATTCAAACACACTATAAAATACACATGGAAATAAAAATCGAAATTGTAATTTCCTGACGATAGAGGGACAATTTGCGGTCACAGACTGATTATACTAAAGGCTAACCAAAACAATGAAAATGACGAACAAATATGAACTCTATTACAATATTATATGGTTGTATTTTAAGTGTCACAATCTTTTAAGGGTAAATTCGTCACGTTCGCAGACATCTGTCGCCGGCTGGGATCGAATTGATACTCTTAAGAATCGATTGCATAATATGACGATGACAATTTGGTTTTTGAACATTTGATTCTTTTAATATACCTTATTTCCATATACATAAGGTTTAAATTCGTTTGTCACTCCATCCGCCAAATCGGCCCCAGCCAGTGATGACAAACCGATTATTGCTATTAAGTTTTGTATTTTTTTTTTCTGTTATATCGGTTATTATTGTTAACTAGTTTTTTATAAGCGTCGTGAAGTAACATTCCCGGTATTAAGGCTCACCAATTTTCTGACCTTGTAATGGGCGCGAGTAAAAATTTATCATCGCTATATTACAATAGAGATAAATCGTCCGTTCGTTAGTCAAAATCTATTAAAGAAACACATCTAATATAAAACAAGCGAGCAGAACCGCGTGATTAACTAGTATGCACATAACGCGTATGAAATATTTAAATTATCATATAAAAGTATCGGTATGATGTAGAGCGTGGCTGGTGAAGTTACCACTTTGATTAATAAGCCCCAAATTGAATGAGCTCTCTTTGACAGCATCAATTTTCCCGCCGGTTACATCGGGACCCCTAAAAATCCACTTACAGAGTCTATTTGAAATTTTGATCGACCCTGACTTGACACCTCGCATCAATTTAAGATGTAAATTGTCAAAGCTTTTGTAAGAATCGGCTTACATGACGACGTTAAAAGTAATAGCTTACGGATATATTTTTTAAATACTTTTAATATGTTACAAGTTTTATTTTTTTTTTATTTCTTGTAAGAAATAAGTAATTTTATCATATAACTTAAACTCATTTTAAGTTTTTTTATTATTAATAAAAAAAATTGGTACTGTCATTTGGAAACATGAAGAGTATAAAAATAAAAAATATATATATTATCATCATAATTCACATATTTTTATTGTAATGGTATTTTAAATTATATATGTATATAATATATTTTATTAACGTCATGTAGTCCTGTACGTTCGTTTGAAGACTCCGTTTTGCATGTACCGGATTCTCTCGTACGTCAAATTGTCACGGCCCGATGACGTTGATGGATTGATGCACCTGACAACCCTAGCTACACTTCATCCGACTATCAACCCTAAATAAACACAATAGAGATTAAATTAGCGTGAAGCTTCTATAGTACTCAAAGGTAGTGACAATATTTTGAATTACTTCAACCAATTATAGCCTCTACAGTTAGGTCATATGGACTATATTACTTTGATAATATTTCGTAAGTACTGCAAGGGCTATGTCGAAAAACTTGATTTCCTTACAAAGATTTATAATGTTAATAAATAGTAAGTCTCATGTGTTGTAATTGTTTTATACGTGTTTAATATGTGAATGATTCAATTTAAATGTTGATGTATTAATAACATTCTTACATGTTTATATTTTTGTAGCATTCAAGATGTTTTTAAATATAGAACAATTCGTGTTCCATTTTTAAAAATATTTTTTAATAATGATGAAATTATTTTATAAAAAAGGTTTTAAGTATAATTAAAGGTTCTTATTATGTTCTTATTAACTAGTAATTAATGTTACATAAATATGACATTTCTATTAAATAAAATATTATTCTATCACCGATGTCATCTCAATATTCAACACGACTGAGATGACGCGACAATTCCTTTGTCGTCGTGTAATATCATAATCTTTATATATCGATGATATTTTAAACCTTATTATTAATGCGATAAAGTCTATGTTAATATCATATTTCTAACTGTAAGACCACCCAAACGTAGTACTGAATATGTTCATTACGCCATGTTGTCATTCCTCTGAGTATAGTGACAGGTGACAGAAAAAATATATCTCGAAAATTTGACAGTTGGATGTGTCACTTTGACGGTATATTTGATACTGTATAAAAATAAATATAATATTCTTATTGTAGGTGCTGGGAAAAATATAACTAGTCTCTTTTAAATAATAATAATAATAAAACAAAAGATTAATTTTATTTCACAAACTCCTGCCTTTTGACTTTACACAGTACTCAAGAAAAAATCGTCTAACAAATAAAAACGGCAAAATATTGTACGATTCTAGTGTGAATGAAGACATAGTTTTTTTTTATACCACGCAAAAGTATGAATTAAAAAAAATGGTTCTTCCCAAGCTATTTTATTTAATGCGTTTTTTATATTAATCCTCAGTTAATTTCAAAGGAAATTATTAATTTCTTTTAAAAATTAATCAAGTTAAAACCTACTGTACATTATATTGAAGTGTATCTGAGTCTCAATTACTATATGATCTATAATTACAGGGCACCGTGCCTTCAAAGACTGGACAATAGAAAAACGACATCTGCCCTCGAATAAATGTATGGAAGGTAAATATATGTATTAATTTTAAAAAGTGCAGTCTTATTTATTTTCTATATAGATTATGTCATTGACTTTTTATTTACCAAAATTATTTCTATATAAAAAGTATTATATCCTACTAATATTATAATTGCGAAAGTTTGTGAGTGTGTGTGTATGTTTGTTATGTCTTCACGTTCAAATGGCTGAACTGATTTTGATAAAATTTTGTATACAAGAAGCTGACGTCCAGGAATAACACATAGGCTACTTTAAATCCCGGAAATCCGCGGGTAACATTGCGGGGCGCAGCTAGTATTGTATTGTATTGCATTAAAAACCCACTTAAATCAGTATCAATACTTAAGTTAATTAATAATAATTTCCGATAGTCATGATCATGTAGGTACTATTAAATAAATTGATCTCCCGATGTCACAAGTCACATGTCCGATGACTTGCTGTTACTCTGTCTCCGGACCACTTGTCTAATGATAATATTATCTTGAGATCGATCTCGGGATTATCGTGCATGTACATCGGTCGTTATAGTTTTTTTTTATGAAATAATTACACTTACAACGTAATTTATACTCAAATGTTCTAATATAAACGAATCCTTGCTAATATTAAAAATGCGAAAGTAACTCTGTCTGTCTGTTACGCTTTCAAGCCTAAACCACTGAAATGATTTTAATTAAATTTGGTACAGAAATAGAGTTGACCTTGAGAAAGAACATAGGATAGTTTTTATCCCAGACTTTTGGAAGGTTCTCTTGGAAACGCGATATAACCTAACTCCACGCGAGCGAAGCTGCGGGCGGAAAGCTAGTACCTACAAAATAATTATGAATAAATTTATACGTAAAACTAATAAGAATACAGCAATATAGTGTATCGGTAAAGTTTCCAATACTCCCGGGACTGATAGTAATGCAAGTCGCTGCTAAATTCAGTAGTAAATTGAGACATAAATTTTTCATCGCCCGTGGCCACTCTTGATAACATACTTGACCAGGACGTCCCGTGGGATGAATACGTATAAGGAACCGCGTATTTCATAAACAGCTTTAGTGAGGCGAACACCACTCACAAAATTATATATATTAAATATACAAATATATATCTATATAAATAGATATTGATTTTTATATATATAATATAGATTATAGAGTCTCCTGCTTCCTGGCAATTTCCCAGCTTCAGCCAGGGTCTGCCTTACATGTTGTGAATAGTTTGGGCTAATTGTTTTTACGACCGACCGCCTGCCTGACATCAGCCCTCTTTGGGAATTCATTAATCAGTGATGTCTAAATACTCTTAGATTGATACTTGGTAGGGCCAAGATCGAACCCGCACTCTCGTGCATGACAGGCGGGCCTTTAACCACTAAGCCACCACTTACTTTATATAATATAAAGTATCGACTTGTTTTATCGATGTTTCTCATCACATCCCTATACGTTATATCACACCCCGAATTTTTTTGTAAGTCGCACAAAGGGCTGTAGGGCCAAAGGACGGACAATAATAAATATTTTGACTATAACACATAAATATTCTACGTTTATGAATAACAAGACGATGGCACCGGGAAAGGGGGTCTCATATACTTTATGTCCATTCCATATTACATATGGTGAGCTGTTTATTAAGATGAAGGAATAACGTTACTTTGCATATATATAAAATGATTTTCTATCAACTAATTTTATTCATCGATGTATTACCTATAATTCTTTACTATTTTATTCTTTTTGAATTTACAGGTCTTTGAAATATCTGGAATTGAATGAAATCTTGTTGACCTGATATGGTCACCCATCCAAAGCACGACCGCACCAAACGTCGTTTAACTGAAAGATTGTCATCTTTGAAATTAATCAAGTAAGTCAGTCATATGTACCTTAGATAATAATCCAATAAAACTTATATAAGAATTAAATATATATTAATTATATAATGTTGGTTATGAAACTAGATTGTATTTTGACTTTGTCTGTCGTGTGTTTATATACGTATAGGATTGGAAACATCACGAGAAGGCTGAATGGAAATAAGTTCTGGAACTCCTGGAAGGTTCCGATGGGTTCACCTGCAAGAAGTACCAGCTGTAACTGAAGGTTTGATAGCAGAAGTCGTAATTGTTATAGTATAGATTTATAAATGTTATTATTAGGTCACATTTAATGAATTTGTTTGGACTTAAATGTCATTGATATCAAAAGAATTTTATCACCATTGCATAAAATTAACTATGATAAAGGAACGTATTTTTGTTTAAATTTTGAAATATTTTGATTCTGTTTATTGAGCATCACTTTTTGAGGCTTGAATATTTTGTAGCTTTTTGGAAATGAATTGAAATATGAATACATACATATATATGTATTTAATTATATTGATATCTAATATATAACAGTAAACAGTAAATAAACTGTGCGCATTTCCACTGCATTGTAGGCTTCGCGTGCGCGTCAGCTTACTACAGGCAATTTCCGGTTACATCGCTTAACTTGCAACCCTCATACTAATTGATACACTATTATCGACCTTATCTTCTGATCATAGAGTATATAATTGTAATCATCTTTATAATATACTATGAGCGAATGCAAAACTAATTGCAGTTTTGTTTTTAGTTCAAGGACTTCGGGTCAAAAGTAACCAAATAATTGACATATTTTTCAGAGTTATTAAAAAGACCAGAAAGTCTTCATAAAAAATGCGGGTAGAAATGATTTAAACATTTACTTAAGCATACAGTCTAATGTTACATTATATTCAAACATAAAACTATATTATTTTCTGTTTTGAAGATAACAATACTGAATTCATTTTCTATTTTTTCTTATATTATTAAAAAACTCCATACTATATTTTTATTAACATGAAACAACTTTAATCAGTATTACAATACTATGATCAAAGGCGTATCGAGAACACATTTGGTCGATTGACCTTTAAGTCTTAAAAGGTTTACTCAGTGAGATTGGTCCTTTCAAACATTACCCTACACCCGAATATATTAGCTTCAACAAAATGTACGTTATAAGAAGGATAAATTTTGACCTTTTATTTAATAATATTTTTAAGTATATCTGTAATGTATCTAATATTATATATAAAGTACTAGGTGTATTAATTACTACAATGAACGTTACAAAGAAGTTCAACCGTAGCCCGCTCGTAAAACCTCGTGATGATTAAAATTTTTAACGAACATCCAATTATGAGCCACCAGCTAAAGTAGACACCGATATCTGTCATAACTCCGTGTTAAATATACGGCGGTATTCCCTGGCAAGGTCCAAGTTACACTGGCACATCATTTCACTCGAGTTCGAAAGGGCGTGGTAGCAAAAAGTAAGGATCAAAGTTTTGTTATTTATTTTTCAACCTGGCGATGGCTTTTTATTGTTTTTTTTTTGTGATTTTATATTTTAGCTATCTGTCATTATATAGGAATGAAATGGCATAGTTTTTGCGTGTAGCGGTTATGCCAAATAGATAAATTATAAACAAAAAGTAAGGAGAATTATTTAGATCCAATTTGAAGCGTCTTATGTTAGGTAATGCGAAGTCTTGAATTTTGGATGAATATATTATATATGCAACTTATATGATGTTAGAAAGAAATCTAAATACATACGTACATAGCATGTATATAAAATAATATACATAGTTATATATTTGTGGTAAATTCTAACACTCTTTTGCAGTCGGTTAAATTAAGAGAAGGCTGAAAACGCGAGTGTTCTGTTTCACAAGAAAGTAAGACGTAAACACACATTAAACTATTTACAAACATTTCCCTGATTCAGATGTTGGCTGATTATTATTGCATGTTTGTTTTGGTCACGCAATAACTCCTAAACCGCCAACTGACTTACTGTTTCAACGTCTTAATAGAATATCTCATGTTTACAAGCAATAAGCACACTAATTAACATAAATGAACATACCTCATTTAATTACCTCAACAACAGATGGCGCTAGTGAGCACAAACTTTGTATCTTGACAATTAAAAATTATAATCTAAAATTATATTAAAATATTAATAGTTTTATAATTATAAATAAATGAAAAAAATATATTTTATTTTCATTACAAGTATGAACATTTTGGTTAAAGGATAGAAGATTTAATACAAATTTAGTACTATCCTTTAAATAATGGAGTAATGTAGATATAGATAGAATAAAATCTAGACAAAACATATCAAGACTCAGTCATTTAATAAAGTCAATTCCTTATAGCGAAAATATCCTGATAAGTACTTACATATATAATCTAAATATTAAGTAGGTATATTAATAGAAATACAATAACAATTCATAGGTTTTTATTAAAACAATTCCGTACAAATCATTAATATTATGTATTTTAGTTTAAATCGATCAAATAGCGACCGCAGTAATAAAAATTATTTTAAATTCATGGCAGAATCACAGTAGCTAATTAATTTTTTTCGGGTTTAATTACGAACAACAATATTCTTAAAGTTTAGTCAAAGTAACAATAAATGTTGAACAAGTTGGCAGAATATTGAAAAACATAACTCACGTACCGAGTATCCGATCACCGATGCGTGCGATTTTTTTCAATGGGCTTTGAAAAAAACTACTTAAAGTGACATTGACATTTGACATATAGCTTTGACATTTCCCTGCTATTTTTTTTTTGTTTTCTTGAATTATAACTTTGTTTAGAATTCCCTTCGGAATAAATCAACGAAGTATAAATTTAATTGTTTGCGAGTTGAATATAAAATATTGTTTTTAATTACATTTGTAATACTAATTTAAGTTATTAATTTAATAGATAATGAATCGGATGTAGATTAGTACTTAAATTAACTTATACTATAGGATTCCTATACAAATTTAAAATTTTGATATTATGATAGTTATTTCAATCATTCATTTACTCATTCTTTTCTTTTAATCGCTACTGAGTTCAGGTATAGGAAATACTAATAAGAAAATATAATTATAATTTATATTTGATTGGTAAATTTAACGTATAAAAACAAAAGATCTTGTCAAATTTATCACCGTTAATTGTGGATCAGATTATGATAAACCATCGAAGGCGGTCTTAAAAACATGATATTTTAATCAAAACTCAACCTTATTTCTATGTAAATAAGATATATACATAGATTTTATTTACAGAGTAAGCAAATGAATCTTTACGCTTATATTTAGTGAGTACACTTTTAATAGTCGCCAACACAAAAATCACATTTCAAACGCATGAAGACCTAACATAAAAAAACAGTTTTTTTAAGTTAAAATTATCTTTATTTTGTACATCAGTCGCGAGGACATAAAACGTCCGAAATTACAGGTTGTGTTAACGAGTATTGTCGCAAAAAATCATTCGTTTTAGAATGGCTTTGTAAGAAAACACAATATGTGGCTGTGTTTGTATTATAACATGAAATGTTCAAGAGGATTTGTATTATATATAGTATATTGATAAACTGAAAGGACCTTACATATGTAAAATTTAATGTAGGAGAAAAAAAAATAAATATATTTTATATAGTAAAGAAAATTAATATTACATATGATGCTAACTGGCTAATCTTTGTACTAATTTAATTTAACGAAATTATACATTTTTATATTAAATAGTTTGCTTAAGACGATGTCTTATTAAGTCAGATTCTGTCTGTCTATCGATATCACAAGAATTTCCAGAAAAATCAAAGGATTTGACACTACAGACGATAAAAATAAAAAAAGTATCCAAATAACAATACCTCCATCATATTCAAGGCTGCTTATTATTACTGGACAGTGTCCAGCGAACGCGAAAATGACTTTTGAAAACAAAAATAAAAATACAAGATTTTATAACTGAGTAAATTTTGGGCTTGGTGATATATACTTTGACAATATTAATGTACTACACGCGAATTATATGATGAACTCTATGTGTATGTAATAAGGTTGATTTTCGCGTGTTTTTATGTTTGGTAGATGTTTGTGTTGGTTGTGTTATAATAAAAGGCTTTGACAGTTCGCCGTAAGGTCGGCAAAACGGTAGGTTGGACAATTTCGATGTCGGTTAGATATTTTAAATCGTTTTTGTCAAATGTCAACTTCTGTGGTCGCCTCCGCGAGGTTCTGTGGGTATTGGGGATGCGTTGGATAATAAAAAAAACTGTTTAAAACAATGCATTAGGACAATAAAATGAGATTTTGCTTAAACTAGGCATAATATCTATTTTAGGTGTTTTATAGAAATTATGTATTGTTATAAATAATATAAAAGTATGTAATATACGAATGTTTCTATATAGTAAAGTAATATAATATAATTTTAATATTTATTAATTGTACGGAATCCATTAATAATATTTCTTTATCCAGTTCGTTAGACTCTGAGATGGTTTACTCTCTGTTGGGTTTTAACAAAAAAATGGCGGTGAACATTTGAATATAATTAAAAGCAATACAAGTTAAACAAATACTTTAATATGTAGTATATTAACGAAAACGTGGACATCAAAGTAGGCGGTGTTTATGTTCGAAGAAGGATAACTGAGAATGTTAATAGGACGTGCCTTTGAAACAATCCGTAAACAAGAGGGGATCATTTTAATTTGGTTTAAAATGAAAACGTACACACGGTCAAATAAAAAAAAACGCCTTATGTCGAACACAATATGGACTATGTCGAACCCGAGCGGCAGACTGTACACATAAAATGTTTCTAACTCGCGAAAGTTGACGTTTGTAATAAAAAAAGCTTTTTTAATTAAAACAAAAACATTGTAACTCAAAGAAAATAAGCAAAACTTTGCAATAATGGTCTTAATTACAAACAGATAAAGTCCGTATTAGTTATTAAAACACTTGTTTTTAACTGAATCTGTACTAGTTAAAGGATAACCCTTCACACCTCCAGTACCACATTCCGATGTTAACCACGTGTAAGTAAGGTTCAACGGCCGGGCTAAATTCGTTTCTTCCTGCAATGTGAAGTTATTTTTGATTACTATTACACGTAAGATCACTCTATTGAAAAGCACATTAAAGATTCGTGGATTGACGTATGGAGTCCAGTCGAAGAGAGGCCGCTGATAAAAGAATATAGACGTGGACTATATACATGTTGATAGTGGACTACATAGATGTTATATGTGGACTATATATAGGTATAGATACCCAGTTTTGGACTATATGATTATTTGCTGTCTGTTAATTTTAAGTAGACAATACAGTACAATAAATATTTGATTCACCTTTTAAGTAAAAAATCATTGAGAACATCAGCAAAATTAAAACTGAAGAAATATGAAAACTTTTTAGTATTTCAAACAAAATTTGTATAAAATTGCTCTTACATGAAATCAGAAAACGTTATCTTGTATCAAATAATGTTAATAAGAGAATATATTGTAATAAAAACAACTTAAATTTGTGTTGATAACAAAAACTACCTATATATTAAGTAGTTTAAACTCCAGCCATTACTAAAAACGAGTAGTTAATATAGTCGTAGTTATTAGTACATTAAAACATGGATTTAATATAATGAGAACGTCCTTCATAGCAAGTTATCTTATGGGATCAGTTCCATGGATTTGACCTCATATAACTTTACGACCGGCCCAGCTTTAAATATGATATCACAACTATGGTTTAATAGCATCCAATATTCTCTATTCACACCATCCAATACTAAAACTGTTTCAGAAGAACAAATAATATTAAAAAACTTTTATATTAGTTTAGTTAATTATAATTGAAACTAATATTTTCCTATTACACGTATTTATACAGGGTGACTGGTGAATTACTATCGATACTTGAGGACGTGATATTTGACGATCATATATGACAAAATAAAAATTAATATAACATAAATATTAATAAACTTCTAAGTAAAGTTAACCAAAAGTTATGTAATTAATTACGCATCGTGTGAACACCCTACAGATTAGATATATACACACACACACACGTGTGTGTGGCGGCGTGGTGTTGTGTCAACACACCGCCGCACGCGTCCACACTTGGAACACTTGGAACGTATCCACACTTTATTTATTTATACGGAAATTTGGTCAAAAATTAAGTACCTATTCTTTTTACATAATTCGAATGAGAATCATGTACCGAGTATTCTCCTTAAATATTGATAGTAATTCACCAGTCACCCTGTATACTCCCGATGTTTCGGTTACTTTGAAGCATTCGTGATCACAGGCAGATGAGTGTAGGAAGATATAAGACGTGAATCTGAAAATAATAGTTTTATTTAAATAAATACACACGAAAGTCTTAGATATTATTATTTATTTAAAATTGATACATTTATTATTTATATATTACGAGTCGAAGTGTTACTATTTTTATGAAACGATTATCGCAATGAATCCATTACGGACGCGTTGAAAAATGTGATAAAGAGATGAGGGCGAAATCTATATTTGTCATAGAATGTCCCGGTTGTTCGGATGCTGCGTCAACAAACAGTATCGTTTGAGATATTTCAGTTCGGCCGTCACTGTATACATTACGACCTCACAGAGACATACGACGACGGCCTATCAATCTTTTAATAAATACCAGAACAGATAACGGATACAACTTACATAAAAACCAACCGTATCATTCAAAACATAAGATTCACAATCAAATGACATACACGCATCCTATTTGTTACCGTCTTGTATATTATTTGTGACTTTACAAGACAACATTTTACGATCGGCGAAAAAAAAAGCGTTTTTTTCACGCTTTCCTCGACACGTGTGATACATTTAATAGCTGTTATGACATTATTTAACGTATATATATTTTTTTATATTCAAATATTATAACGTTTAGCTTTGACAAAAAATAATGTTAACTATAGCTATAAAGTTTCAAACGACCTGTCACAAAAACGATGATTAAGAGAACAGTACATACGAAATACATAACTTTTTATACGACACATATATAAAACTGCTAAAATTTACGATGACACAGAATTAGAACTCTCATCACGCAATCAGTATATTGTGATAATAAAACAAAAGTAAACATCTTATAGCCATTAAATCGCGAGTCTCTTGATGTCTGTGTGAACAAAGTTTTAATATATATATGTATGAGATCGGAATTTTTTAATAACCCATAACTGATTGATGGTAATGAATCCCGATGACAGGAAGCTCCTCCACTGTGGAACGTAAAACGCATCTCAGCCGACTCTCCAGCAATGATTATCGCGAATACCGCAGCATGTGATGCTATTTTTGTATCGCGCACACGACTTTATAGTCCAATAAAGTTTTACTTGTCACTCAGATGTGATTTATGTTCCTTACGTCCTAAATGCGCCTTCCGCCGATGAATTTCCTCGTGTCAACGCTATAACAAACAATCGTTTGGAGCGTAGGCGACAGAAACCGTGCTGGCCCATCTGAATCCGTCCATCTGTGACCGGAGCGAACAAAGGACTTTGTCTTCTGACATAAAGTAAACAAAGTCCAATTTCCTGAACATGTCTCACTGCATCACCTCGCTACCAGAACTTATGTCTAAATATATTTTATGCGAAAACGTACTTTAATGGTTTAGGTTAAGTGTTAATTTGGTTTGTATTATTATGTGTATTAGGATGTATGGTGTAAGTGTATTGTAAATCGCACAGGCGGCGCCGACGACGTCGTTGGAAGCCAGTCCGTACAGCCGTCGAGGCGTATCGAGGAAGGATGCTTAGCATTTGCACCTCTAATTATATCCCAGGAACGTGCTGTTGAAACAAATAACCCGTCACTAGTTTTAGGTATTGGGTTTCGTCATTCGTCCGTAATTAACATTGTTTGCTGAATTACACACGCACAGAGCTATAAAAAGAAGCGGTAACGTTAAACTGATGTTAAGAAAAAAATACTCGGAAAATTTAAAATGTCTCCAAAAAAATAACCGTATAAAAGTTTCTGGGAACGGGATCGAGGGCGGTGTTGTTTGGACTGCGCGGGCGCAACGAATACAGATGTCATTTAGATGTTCAGGCGAGCTCTGCTAAGAGATGGCTTGGAAATAGATCGCATAAACTATTCACTGGCGTTCCTTTGAAAAAAACATCGTGTATCGTTTGAATTTTGGCAACATTCCTCGATGTTAACAGTTTCTCTAAATTTATTTAATAACGTGTATATAATATACTTTTACTTTTAGTAACAGAACTAAATCCATCTTAGTGACGTCATCACTGATTCCGATTAATTCAAAAGTAAGAAATAACCGACAAAAAAAACATAACCAATTTGTCTTCCCAAAAGTAAACATTAAATGAACCACATCAAACGTGGCGTACAAATTGAAAGGAGTCATTCCATTGACAAAATCCATTAATACTGGACTGGTATCGCGAGCAATTAGTAAACAAATGAGCCCAGTGACAGATTGGATGTTGGCAGGGTGACAGAACTAACTTCTACATATAAAGGAGGTTGTATATTAACAGATAATACTTATAAATTATTATATATACTTACAAAAAAATCTACAAAAGTAACTATTTAAAACTATTTAAACTGATTGATACTTTAAAACGAGATTAACTGAAAATAACAAAAATACATCATGTTTGTGTAAATTAGAACACTAAATTTATAGTCAAGTAAATGTCTCGTTTGAATTATAAAATAAATAATTAAATAAATAAATAATGTCAAATCGTCTTAACAGCTACAGCTACGGGCGACAACCATGTGTCACATTAAAACGCGACGTAAACCTTCCACTGCCGGTTATTTTAGTTTAATGACAAGTCTGGAACAATGAATCCTAACGATCGATTCGTTTAAACATCATTTTATTTCTGAGATGTGGCAGCGCTGTCCAAATAACTGAATGACAGTTTTTATGAAGCAATAAAATAAATATAACGGATCATTTTAATATTTTAAATACAGTTAGTTAATTTTGTATGATGTTTTTCGTTTTTGTTAATTAACTAACAACTGACGCGTGTAAGCGTGGCCATGTTTTTTTTGGGTGTCATCTGTTGTGTCGCTTTGTCTCAACTCAATTAGCAGCTTTCAGTTTATCCGAGTCAGTGTAATCGGATGTTTAAACCCCGGATTCGTCTTTTTGTGAATGTCACGGCGATTATCGTGTCATTTTTCACGTTTTAATTGGTTCTCATTACTAATTAAATGTATGTGTTTTTTAAAGACTGCTTTCTTTCTTTGTTTAAGTATACTATTTATTGTATGTAGGTATGGATTATATTTCAAAACATCTGCAACATTTTAAGAAAATTGGAAATAAAAATGTTTGAAACATTTTTTTAATATATAATATACATAGGTCAGGCAATAGGCGAATGAGAATTGCGTTTAATGAAAAAGAAACTAAGCATTTAAGGCTATCCAAATTTTTGTTAGCAGTTATGGGAATATATTTTTTAACTCCTTAATATAAAAAAACCTTCTTATATTTAATATGGATATAAGCGGACTCGGAATATAAATAACATATTATTTCTATTCCGAGTCCGCTTCCTATAGCGAAGCATCGTATCCACAATCAGTGTATAACATGCCTAATGGAGGCGATGCTCCACGCGTCAGTTATGTAATCCACTTTCATCATGTGCACCCAGCGTAAAAGATTCGTGGCAGCAAATCGTGTCCGTCAATTGCGCAAACTTCCGATTATAAGTCGGATATACCTAATTTACACCTTCGCTCAAGAAGAACGAATGAGTACCAAGTCATGTGTATCATCATCGCACCGAAATGAATCGAATGCATTGTGTACAACGCTTTATAATAATACCAAATTAAAACTATCGTTACAATTAAAATTAAAAATATCTATGTATTGTATATAGTAGGGACCCAGTAATTCTCTCCCGCTGCGAAAACAAAAGACCAAATGACAAATATATGTCCCAGAATAATAAACTGATAAAACCCGGCCAAATTAAATGTAACCCGTCCCTTAATACGTCCTTAAACGGCGTGACCGTTTAATATAGCCGGGTTTCGGCCACCCGGGCGTGAGAGGATTTTTGTTTACTTTAATTTTTACAGCAGCCGCGACACAAACCAGAACAAAGTCTCGACTAATTATAGATACGTTTTAACCTTACAACATTGGGTCATTGACGTATCTGAATACATCGCGCGACCTGAAATAGATACACTATGAAAACACTTATATATTGTCACTCAATCGTTTCACGCGGACTGTAGTTGTGCTGAAATAGATACACTATTAAAAACACTTACACAGTGTCACTCAATCGTTTCACGCGGACTGTAGTTGTATAATTTTAATGTTATTCTAAAGTTAATTTCCCTAACAAGTCGGGTGTCAATGATTTACGAGCTTTCGCATTTACAGCTTGTTTCACACATTGTACGAAGTTCGCTTCCTATTTGCGGTTAGGTGATTTGACTAATGTGCTTTTTAAACTTAATATTAAACTAAATATATTTTCTTTACAGTAACTATAGTAATAAAATTTAAACAATCTAACACGCTCGTAAACATTTTACGTGAGTAATATTCAGTATAGTATGTTTAATATTCTAACTATTTATGTTTGTTAGTGACAGTCCCAATATTCTCAGTAACATAATATTAATGTGACAATGTTATTATGATTTTCGCGAACTGTACAGAGAAATGTCCCTTTCTTGTGAATCGTGTGTGGTCACCGGACACAAGTTATTATCATTATTTATGTGACTACAAGGAATTCTACAGTTTTGTCGTATTTAACTCAACTCAACGAAACTATGACAGAAAAATTTTGTTATTTTAGATTTAAAATATAATTAGTATAACGGTCAACGGTATTAATTGTCAAATCTCAATGGCATGTATTCATTATTTTTATATAAATCTCGTCTCTAGAGCCTCTAAAAGTGGTAAAAATAAAAAAAAACAATTATACTACACACGGTCACCTGCCCGTCTAATTAAGTTAATTTAGTTTTTACCTTACTATTCTTGTAAATAAAAAGAACCATTTAACAGTCCCGAGCATAAAGTTTATTGTCGTCAAAATGAAATAGAATTTTAACCTTCATTTAATTATAAAGTCTATAATTCAATTTAAATTTAAATGATGTCAAATTTTCGTTACAAAATCATAATCATAATTTTGCGTTTTATAAACCGGAATTCAAAGCGTCCGTCGTCATTTTTTACGTAACTTCTTATTAGTGTATTTTTTTCTAATTTATGTTAAGATTTTGCGGAAGTCGCTTCTAGATAAACGATCTATGTTATCAGACATCAGCTGTTACTGACGCGAGACGAGACTTATAAAACCTAAAAAACTATATAAAATATTTATTTTTATCATATTACTAGCTTTCTTACAACTTCGCTCGCGTGGAGTTCGGTTATATCGCGTTTCAAAGAGAACTTTTCAAAAGTCTAGGATAAAAACTATCCTATGTTCTTTCTCAAGGTCAACTCTATCATTGTACCAAATTTCATTAAAATCAGTTCAGTGGTTTAGGCATGAAAGCGTAACAGACATACAGAGTTACTTTCGCATTTATATTAGTAGAGATTTAAGTTCATTTCACACTTATACGTTTTTTGTTCTTCTATGCAGATGTTATTCAAGTCATCCGTAGTGACATTTATATTTACAAGGAAATCAAATGATTAACTATCATTTATGTCATAGATCGTGTTATGACTAAGGGGTTTCGTCTTTTAATGTAAGTTCGTGATTTTTATAACAATTACATCACTATTCAACCGGTATTCAATACCTAGGACAGTTTTTATTTGTAAATATCAGTTTTGGCGCGAATTCCTAATCGTAATAATGATTTGACATCCATATTTATTTGGTTGATTTGATTCTTATACATACAATGACTGCCGATCCTCTCAAACATTTTCGGTGCGTTATTATCTTTCATAATCATTTCCGATCAACAATTATTCCATATAAGTTTAAGTAAAAACTGTAACACATAGACAACTCTCATAGCGTCGGGTACGTATTAATTGTGTCGGTCTCCTTTGTCGTGGAAGGGCCGCCGACATCAAAGTCGCCGACAAAATGTCACCACGGTCCACCAATTATATGGTGTTGGTATTGAGCGTCAATTGACTCGATTCCTCCCGACATATGCCATGAATTAGTTCGCAAAAACATATATATATCTGTAGCAAATATTATAATATTATATTAAAGGTAAATGGTATTATTATCAGTATTATTTTCTAGTAATAGTGTTTCGTAAAGCTAATTCATTATTGATAATGTTTCCGATACACTGAGTCTGCAGTCATGACCACTGCGACTTATCTTAACAACTTTTATAACTGATATCTTTTACACCTCACGACTCTTGTTAATATACTATAAACATATATATAATATAATTGTATATCTATATTATTATAATATTCTAAATAGTTTTTTTATATAAAATACTTATTATTACCAAAATTTCATATCAAAATAATAGAATACCTAAATATATTTATAGGTATATACGAAATTCTATGTATTTTCTTTTTCAATGTTTTCATTCCTAATTAATAATCTCTGTTATAAATTTATATCAAATGATTGATAATAATATAAATTATTATATATCTATAGTAATGAATGATCAACATTTATAGTCCAAAAACCTTACCATAAGTTTATAAGACAAACTGCCAACGTTTTTACTATAGTATAGTAAGTATTTACTATCAGTTGTGCGTTTACCATCACAAGTCCTTAGTAAAGTAACTGTTATACTAGTCGTATCTAACAGAGCGTCTCGGTGTAATGACTGTTCAATGTAC